TTTATTTTACAGGTAGTTATACCTGTCTTTGTAAATCTAAATTTCTTAGCAGCTAGTTTCTGTAAAATCTGCGATAGAGCAGCACGAAACATATTTTTTTGGTTGTCATTACAAGATGTAGAAACTATATTTAAAGAATTAACTATAACATCTTGTATATCATGTTTATCCATGACCAATGAGTATTTTTTCAACTCTATTTTTTGCACTATTTCAAATAAATTTTCCATCTTGATATGTCGCTACGACTTTTTTATTTTGATACACTAATATTTTTTCAACATCTTGATTATAAAGGCTTTTAACATCGTCTATGCTCATATTAAATAGCGGCTTTCCTTTGTCGCTGCCAACTCGCCTTTTATAATCAAGGGTATAAACTATAAATAAGTTTATTTGAGATTCTTGTAATTCCTTTACATATTGCTCTTTATCAAGTTGTTCAACTCCTTTGTTCTTGTGAAAATAACAGTAGATGTTCCCGTCTTTGTACATGATTGCGTATTCCCATTTTCCATCACACTTTTTTAAAAAAACTTTGAAGCTGCGAAGGCTTTGATCCAAATTTTTACAACCTCGGAAGGGGTTTTCTACATCTTTATCAAAGAATTTTACTCTTAGTAAAATTCCTTTAGTGCTAGTTGTTATCATTGTTTCAGCGGTTTAGTTGCTACGAAGTGAATCAAGAATTTTGCTTTTATCCTGGTTACTCAAATTTTTAAAAACAGGCTCGAATTTTCCTTTAAAAATATTCTCCAGTGCTAACTTATTGGAATCTGTCAGAGCTTCGTTTTGGCTCAATCTTTTTTTGAAATTTTGATATGCAGTCGCCGCCTGAGAGTAGGCAAAAGCGATGCTTTCATGGGCGACATCTAACAAGCCTGTATAAAGCCTTCCAATTGTTCCTAATTCATTGCAATACGCTCCAAATCGTTGATTCTTAGCAAAGTAATTATCTTGTATTTTTTTCCAATCCTGTACAGAATAGCTGATCGCCTTTTGAAAATTTGGCGATAGCAAAAAATCTGGAGGGCAGCCGATGCGGTGAACATAGCCGTTTAGTTTAGCGTGTTTTGCCTGTTTTTGGACTGCATGGCTAAATATCTCGATAGCAGACCGCTCAACGCCTGGTAATTTTTCGCAGTATTTTTTGAGCATACTGGTTTGAAATTTTGAATTTTTATAGGCTTCACGCTCGCAATATGTTTTGATTTTTTGCGCTCTATATCCTTGTATTTCTTTCTCTATCAACGAGATATGTTCTTTGATAATTTCAAAAGTTGTTTGCTCAAGCGTGGCATTCATTTCTCGCATGGCGAAAAGCTCGGAGCGGCAAAGCTCAAGCTGCTGCAAGGCGGAAAAATCTTTTTTACTTTTCGGTTCGATTTTTTGGATTTCTCCAACAATTTTGCGCCCTTGTCCCTCACATCTTATATCAAAAGAAACATCGTCGGCGATAGCCGACACCGCATAATCAACAGCGGGCGGATTATCTATTATTGTTTTTTGTTCCTTATCTTTTAAAATAGTTGAAGAACTATATTGCGGTAAAAGTTGCTTATTAGGGGGCAAAGAAGGGGAGGGCGCAGCCTTGATTTTTAAAATTTCGGGGTTCAGAAACAACTGTATCTTGCCCCTTCCTTTGGTGTTTTGGTCGTCTTTTGTTGGGTTTTGGTGTCCAGTATTCAAATAGTTTTTTTTATCAATTAAAATACCTGCTTCGGTTAGGCGTTTAATTTGATTGAATACCGTTTTTTTTCTCAATCTCATACATGATAGAGCTTCGTCTTGTAGGGAATTTACTTTGGTTGCAAGGGTATTGAGATAAACGAAGGCAAACAATTTGCCTTCCTTGCAGGACTCTTGGAATAATTCAGGCTGTTTTATCCTGATATCCTCCATTGTAGGCGCAACACATTGGAGTATTGCGTGGAAAACGTCAATAGTGCTGCTGGTGATGCCGCCGCTTTTGTGTTTCTCTCTCCAGAGTTTTTGGAACTCTGACATTTTTTCTTTAGCAAATT